TTTATAAACTTAATTGTCTTAGCATATATTCCTAAATTAAATCTAGAGACTTTTCAAATACTCGTCATCCTTTTGAAACTCCTATTGAAATTTTTAATAGAATCAAGACCTCGCCGTGATAAACTCAATATGTCAATGGAAAACGAAAAGATCCAATAAAAGTGCTCCTTCTTTTGATCGTATATTGTCTTTTTCGACGTAATAAAATATAAAGCATGATTTCTCTACACGCACGCCCTTATGTATTATTAGGTGATGTCGTGATCAACTCGTATTCATTTTGATACTACGGCTAAAAGAAAACTTCAATTTTTATTTGTAAATATTTTGGGCTCCACACAGAGAATAATCAACAAAATGATGACGTATGTATACAAAAACAAAGATAAGATGTTAAGATATAAGGCCTTAGCACTCGTAGTTTGCTAATAAAGCTTATCAACAATTACTCAGATATCTAAAATAAACTAAAAAGTGATAATAAATTGTTATTATTTTAACAGGTACCTAGCGTTTTAAAAGGTAACATTTCTTTTGAATGGAACAATTTGTGTCTAGATTTTGTCTCAAAAATATTCAATGCATAATTTAGTTACACAAAGTTTGAAATATAGGATTACGCTTTTCTAAAGTAGAAGTAGTAGTAGTAGTAGTAAAGAGTTTATTAAAACAGAAACTTTGATAACATTATCGCTTCTTTAATAGTGGGTTAACAACTTTCTGGGTGCTTTAATAGCTAAAAGAAATCACCTGAGAATCTTTTTTAAACAAACGTTGCCATGTCAAAAGTTCTTAGCAGAAAAATTTTATCAAAACGAAAATACCGTATTTATGCACTCTGACGGTTAAACATCCATCGCCGATGAATTCGATCAAACGCTCCGTAATACCTTACTCAACTTTCTAAAAAGATGGGGTGAAAAAATCGTCTCAGAAGCAACACTAACAAATTCGTTCTTGAAAAGTTGATAAGGGTATATATAAGGGCATGGGATATTAAAAAANATAAACAATCGTGGGTATATAAGTGAAATCATTAATTATATTAAATCTTTACTCCATTTTAAAAAAATTTTTTTTCTACTAACACTATTTCGTGCAAATTTGTCTGTGTGCATGTATCTGTTGTTTTGATAGATCGCTTGAAGTAGCAGATCTGTAATTGATAAGTGGATTATTTCTTCTTTAACAAGGAAACACACAAGTTTCCCAATATCAAATGTAATAAAGTTTTTAAAAAAATTTTTTTTCTAATCTATGTAAACACATAGTATCATTTATTAACGTATAAAATAGAGGTGCCAAGAAAGGCCGTAAATGCAATTAGTGTTTTACTGTTTTTTAAGTCCTAAATTACACATAATTATTTGAATGTTACTTCATACCTTCAAATGTTGTAAACGATCACTTCTAAAATGACGTACTTTTTGTACGCCACGTAATTTTGCGTATTCACGTGGTTTAACTAAAATACCTGTATTGGTTTTGCTAACATAAGGCTTTACTGTTATTTTAGTCAGTTCGAAAACTTAAGCATTTGAATCTTCTTTATGCTAGGACCTCTGAAGCTTATTTCACTGCTTTCAATGCTACGAAAAAAACAAAAAAAAATATCAAAATTTTTCCCTGAAAAATAACAATGACTCCAGAGTGTTTTTAAAAAGTATTTCTCGTTTCAGCTTAAACTCTAGACACTATTTCGAGTAAACCAACGCGGTATAAAATATTTCTTTTTATTGGTTTTATAAGTACTGTATGTACGAAAACCAGTGTCTCAATTTATGCAAAATCACCAATCTGCAGTGTGCCTAAGAAAAAAGTGTTATTTTAATAACTAAATCCTATTAATACTATTGATAACATAACCCATTACCATATCCGACTTCGTATTAGTATTAATGCGCTAACTTTAATTTAAACTAACAAATTTTCCGTCAGCCATTTTAGAACGTTTTTTAATAATATGTGTCTTTGTAACAACACTATAAGTAAAGTCGCTCAGTGCAAAAAAATGTATTTTTAGTAGATCTACAGTTTTCATATTGAACACTTTGTCTAAAAATGTGCTGTTTGAAAGCTAGGTTGTGTAAAACGAGTTTTTGGCTGTTTCGAAACAATTTTTGTCTTTTAAATCGTTAAGACGGCACTAAAAAAAACTTACTGTACTAAATAGTTTTAATTTAATGAACTCTACATCTTTTGTATTAAAAATTTTGTAGTAAAATTAGAATTTTCTGTAACAGGCGAAAAACGATTCTTTTGCTGTTTTTTCATATATTTTGATCTATGGAGCATCGTTACGGTATTGAGCAAGGTATACTACCAAAACTTTGTATTTTAACAAGTTCTACAACTTTGTCTTCAAAAACCGAAGGGTAAATTGTATGTGGTAAAATCTATTACTTAAAAAACTGATTTCTTCATCCTAGAGCGGTGCTCTAAAAATTTAAGTTACGAACGAAATTTCAGCTTATTGTAATCATAGTTACTTTATTGAGTTGAAAAACCTAATGACGTACACACATACACTTAATGACCAACTGAAATCACCCTCGCACTGGGTTGAGAATTTGTTTTGTACTAGAAAAAGACAATTCATTAGTGGTTAAACTTTTTGCTCTGACAAAATTAAAAAGCACTATAAAACAATGGTCGTGCTTAAAATGTTATAGTTAATTAATGTTACGATCCAATACACACTTTCTCTACTTTTACTTTAATTCTTCAAAGATCCGTAATAGTAGGTTATTATTATAGTATCATAGGGATGTTTAATAGCAAAAATTTTATAGTGTCTCACTTTTACATAGGTTTTATCACACACAGTTAAGGAAAAGAAGCTTCATACCTGCAAAGGTTTCGTATCGTCGCTTCGGATGTGATGTACATTGCGTCTGCGTCGTGGATTAATATGGGCACGTTGATGACACACAAGATTTGAACTATTGTTGTGGTAACATCCATAATAAAGTTTTTCAAGCAACAGTTAAATAAAACTCATGATAAATCCACAAATTAAAATGGCATACAGAGGAATTACATCTTTTAAACCGATGAAATGAAATGAATTTTTTTTATCAGGAATTTCGGTCCTGTAGTTAGTTATTATTCTTTGCATGATGCTAGTTTTTTTAGACCTGTAAATACTAAACAAAGTTTGTTAGCATAAAAATACAAGTAGTATTCATTAGAGTTATCGTCATAGTCAGTATCATCGTTATTATTGTTTCCACGATTGTTAGAATTAGTCTTATTTTTATTGTTGTCATTATAATAATTATTGTATCAACCGTACTGATAATTGAAAAATTTAGTGATTGGATGATGTTTCTTTGTTCTTAGACTTCCATGCGTCACACTGCCCAGTGGAATGCTAGCTACTTTGCGAGGTGGCTTCTTGTCTTTTTTATCTAACATTGATAAGAGTGCAAATAAGGCTACTTTTTTGAAGCAGACCTGAAATTTTAAAACAATACATTTTATTACAGAGACTGCCGATTTTTATCCTTGATGGACGAAGGAGATGTGTAAAGATCTGGCGAATCATAAACAAGTTAAACTATTAAAAATATTATTTTAAACGTTCTTTTTTGTCTTACTACTTATACAAAGTTTGCTCTCTACGATTTTTATCGCCACTTAACAATAGAGCAAGAAACTGTGTGGGCGTTCAACAATTTCTTCAGTAAGAATGACTTAATATTGCTACTAATATATATACACATACATACACACGCTTAAATAAGACTTTCAAAATGTACCTGCTCGAGAGCTGTATCAAAATTTTCCAGCAAGTTGTTTGGATTTTTAATCATTTGGTTTATTTTATTATAAACGGGATCTTTAGATGATGCCTTAAAATATACAGAACAAATATATAAAATTCAATTTTGAATTTATTGTCAGTCGAACATGTATTTATTTTACCAAAATAAGTGTATAGGAACCGGAGCCATTAACAGCAATAGGTTGGTAACTACCATCTTTAATGAACTAAGATACATCATTAAATGGCATTGTGGGTAGTCCAACTGTCAAGTAACTTGTCAAAGATTCACAATTAACTGCGTAGATGACTAATGCACAAAATAGTACTTTCAAGTACACCAGCTTTAATGACGTACGTTTAACAAAAGCATCTATAAATTAAAAAATTAATATTTATGAGATTCATAATTGTTTGAAAATCATTCGCAAATTTTGGTACTTAAAATTCACCTGACAACCCTTGCTGGCAAAATACACCCAATATTTGTGTACAAGATTCCAACAAAATGACATATCTTGAACGTGCTCTGTCTTGATATTTAATGTTGATGAAAGACAATTGTTTGTTTTGACTGCTTTATTGGTTTGTATGGGCTTACAAATGCTGGATAACACTTTACACAAAGAAAAGGCACAAGGGATAGTCGCTCTGGTGTGTAGTCGTCGTCTTCTTCTTCTCGTTCTTTGGTGTGGCATGCGACTGTCCTCACTGAGCCTTCGTACACGAGTGAGCCCCACCGGCCGAGTGCGGTGACGCACGAGGTGGGGAGCCGGGAGAGAGCGCAGCGACCGACGTTGCATGGCAGGGCGCGGGTCCTCGCTCGGTCGGTGAGAAAACCCGAACATCCCGCCCGCCTTGATCGAAGAGCGAAACCCTAGTTAACGCCCGCCGAAGCCGGGGGAGTCCCTCGATCGTCTGTCGCAGGGAGGCTAGAGTCTGCAGGTGCCACAGGGAGACGCGCAAGCTCAACAATGGGCCGCACGTATTCGCCGGTGGCCGTCTTGACGGCAGCAGCACGGACTAGTCCATCGGATCTAGGGTGTGTGCGGGTGATACGGCCCAGAGGCCAGCGTCCGCTGGACTGTAGCAGCGTAGGGTCAAGAAGAATTACCAGGTCCCCCACCGCGAAGTTCCGACGGACAGCGCTCCATTTTGGCCTCTGTTGGAGAGTATTTAGATACTCACGGCCCCAGCGCGTCCAGAATTGGGCGCGAACGGCCTTGACGAGCTCCTAGTGCGTGAGCGGGTCCAAATTCTCTGCAGCGGGGGTAGCTTCGACGATGGAATCGACGGGAGCCCCGATGAGGAAATGTCCAGGCGTGAGCACTTTGAGGTCAGAGGGATCGCCAGACAAGGGTGTCAACGGGCGGCTATTCAACACGGCCTTAATTCCAACGAGAACCGTAGAGAACTCTTTATACGTTAGATGACGAGAACCGAGCACACGGCATGGATGGCTCTTGGTCAACTTGACCGCGGCCTCCCAGAGTCCTCCAAAATGTGGCGCACCAGGAGGAATGAACTGCCAGAAAACCCCCTGGGAGGCAAGAGTCCCGGCGACTAGGTCCCAGTTAAATTCTGCGCCCTGCAACGCCTCGCGGAGCTCCAAATCAGCTCGACGGAAGCAGGTGGCGTTGACGCTCCAAAGCTCGGATGGTCGGCCTCGACGACCGGTGAAACGGGTGAGAGCACCCAAGAAGTTGGCCGCGGAAAGGTCGCCGACAAGCTCCAGATGCACGGCTTTGGTGGTCATGCACACGAAGACAGCGATGTAGCCCTTTGTGGTCCGGATCCCCCGTCCCTTCGATGTAAGCACGGAGAAGGGCCCGGCGTAATCGACTCCGGTGCGACCAAAAGCGCGAGACGGCGTGACGCGAGACGCGGGCAGCGGAGCCATCAACTGGCTTGAAGAGCGCGCCTGTAACCGGGCACAGATGACGCACCCTCGAATGTAAGCCTTGATTTGGCGTGGCCCACCGAGAATCCAGGCACGCCTGGAGACGTATGCGCTGGTAACGCGATATCTACCGTGGAGGGCACGTGCGTGAGCCCAAGAGACCACGAGTCGAGCGAGTGGCGATGTTCCGCTGAGGATGGGAGGGTGCTTCTCTTCGTAAGACAGCGATGAGTGATCGAGCCGCCCGCCAACACGCAGAACACCGTCGGCATCGAGGAAGGCGGCAAGAGAGGTCAAAGGGCTCCGTTTCGGAAGACGTTCACGCTTCCGCAGGAGTGCCAACTCATCCCCAAACGTCATCGATTGACTTAACCGAACGCAGGCAAGGAAAGCGTCCTGAACCTCAGACAGCGTCAACGGCAAAAGCACAGAACGGGTGGGCATGCGCTGCAAGCGGTGTCGGACCCATCGGCGAACGCCCAGGAAGAGACCCAGTACGGCGCGCAAGCTCGAGAAGAGCTGCAGCAGGTCCGATTCAGGCGCGCGGAAGGCGCAGCAGAGTGAGAGCGTGGGCGTGGGTGGAGGCAGTGTCTCCTGGGGCCAAGACTTGTCATCCTGGGCCAGCCACGTGGGGCCTCTCCACCACAGGGGCTGCTGTTGGAGGCCACTCATGTCGGCACTTCTGGTGGCTAAGCCGGCCGGATTCGATTGCGACGGCACGTATCGCCAGGCACTGGGTGGCAGGACCTCCTGAATCTGAGCGACGTAGTTATCGACGAGCACGTTGTTGGCCGGCTGATCGGAGCGTATCCAGTGGAGCACAATTTGAGAGTCGCACCGAGCGTGGCAGTGCTCGATCGCGACTCCCAACTCGCTGGCTGCTGAGCAAAGAAGCTTGGCGGCGATGAGGGCCCCTCGCAATTCTAGACGTGGGATGGTCATGCGACTGGCTGGCTCGGTCATCGGCTTGTGCGCGCGGATGGGCGCAAGCTTAGTACGAGCGAGAAGTATGTGGCAGAGAGCGGGCCCATCTGAAGACCGCAGCCACGAATATACAACAGCGGCCATAGCACGGCGACTGGCGTCAGAAAACACGTGCAGCTGGACATTCGACGACGGAGACATACCAATCCAACGAGGCAGAGAGAACCCGGAAATGGCCTGCAGCTCGGCGGTGAAAGCGGTCCAGCGGCGAGTCATGGAGGACGGTACGTTCTCGTCCCAGTCCAAGCGCGCGCGCCACAGGTCTTGCAGTAAAAGCTTGGCGTTCAACACGATCGGGGCAAGCCAGCCGCACATATCGAACAAGCCTGCGAGCGCGGCGAGCATGGATCTCTTTGTGGTTTGAAATTCGACAACGGGCGGCGTCAAACGGAAGAAATCCGAGGGCGGGTCTCAGCCTACGCCCAGTTCGCTGACGAGGCCTTCAACACTGAGCTGATATCAAGTAGGACGGAGGCGGACGTCTTCGGGAAGGTCTTCGAGAAGCTCAGGCGTGCTGGCAACCCACTTTTGCAGAGGGAAACCACCCGCTTGAAGAAGTCCGATCAGTTGGTCGCGCAGACGCTTGGCCGAGCCGATGTCATCAGCGCCGGAGAGGATGTCATCAGCGTAGCGATCGTTCATCACCACTGGGACGGCCTAAGGCCAGCAGCGGACGTCATCCTCGCACAGCTGCTGTACGACCCGTAGTGACAGGTACGGGGAGCACGAGGCACCGTAGGTAACGATGAGCAGTTGGTAGTGCGTAGGTAGCTGCTTTGGGTCGGAGCTCCACAGAATGCGCTGCAGGTCGACATCGCGTTCATCAATCAGGATCTGGCGGAACATCATGCGAACGTCAGTACAGAACGCAATCCGGTGACGACGCCAACGCAGGAGCACACTGGGGAGAGCCGTCTGGAGCCGAGGACCAGCATGAAGCACGTCGTTTAGGCTATAGCCACTGGAAGTCGGGCTCGACGCATTGAAAACAACGCGCAGTTTGCGACCTTGGTCACCGTGCTGCCAAATGCCGTGATGTTGGATATAATGCACTAAACGGTGCGATGCAGCGAGTTGGTCATCAGTAAGGGGCTTCATATGACCGAGGGCAATGTACTCTGCCATGAACCGGGCGTACTCAGAAGCCGTTTCGGAAGTCTGCTGCACCCGACGATGCAACGAGCGCAAGCCAGCGGTGGCGCCCTGCAGACTGTCACCAAGGAGGCGCACAGCGTCATGCTTCAGTGGAAGTCGCACAATGTAACGCTCGTCGTCAGCGCGATGATAATCGGCGAAGATTCGCTAGCATTCCACATCCTCAGGCGCTCGGCGGCTGACATGTGGCACCTCCTCGATCTCCCAGAATCGCTGGAGCTGTGCAGCCAGCTCTTGATCCCAGGGCGACTGGGTGTTCGTGAGCAGAGTTGTGCCTGCGATGAGGGCGTTCGAGCCCAGGCCAGGGGCACGGCCGACGAGAGTCCAGCCAAGAGCCGTGCGCTGTCCGACGAGCTCGTCACGCTGAACGTAACCTGGTTCGATGAGGCGGTGGTAAACGTCGACTCCGAGCAGAATGTCCACACGGCAAGGTGTGCCAAACGCTGGATCGGCCAGAAGCTCAAGATCGACCCACTGTCTCATAACGGCTGGGTGCAAGGGGGCAGACGGAGAGGTGAGCCTGAGCCGCGGCAGGCAGAGCGCTGTCAGGTGAATTCGCGATTCATGCTCTCCAGTTTCAAGGCGTAGATGCGCTCGGGTTCTCGAAGGGATGGTCAACCCTCCCCCAACCCCATGAATGCTCGCCTCGTTGACTTCTAGCGCTGCGCTGAGCTGCTGGGCCAACCGGATGTAGATGAGTGTAACCTCAGAGCACGCATCAAGGAGAGCTCGACCAGCGACTCGTCGGCTGGTGGGACCGGTTAGCTGGACAAGAGCGGTCAAAAGTACGGCGAGTCAGGACGATGGAGGCCCCTGATGCTGTGAGTCGGTGGCGGACGGGCCCGCGCTGTCGACTTTTGGCTTCTTGGGCGAAGAGGGACGCTGATCCGATTCAGGCTTGCGCCGATGGTTGCTCTCGTGCAGCAGACTGTGGTGGGGCTCCCTGCACTGCTGGCAGACGGACCGTGAAGGGCAGAACTTTACTGCGTGGCCTGGTCTCAGGCAGTTAAAGCATAGCTGCCCTTGATAGACCATGCGTCGCCGGGACTGCGCGTCAAGGCCTTGAAATTGCGCGCAGTGACCCAGGTAGTGCGACTCTCTGCACGACGGGCATGGTGGCAGCGAGCCACTCGTGGCAAGGGCTCTAAAGTTTTGACCAGGAAACGGGGGGGCCGGAGAGCGCATGCTGACCGTGTTGGCTGAACGAGCAGGGCGAGAGGCCTCGACGGAGCTGAGCGCGCGGCACTGTCGGCGCAGGAAAGTCGTCAAGGCAGCAAAAGTGGCAACTTCCGCCGTGGCGTCCGTGCCAGCGGTCTCCAGTCGCTCGATCTCGTCCTCCCACGCGCGCCAGGTCGTCGGATCCATGCCAGTCATCGCGCAGGAGACAATCCAGTCGTCCCACTGAGACACAGGGTGACCCAGAGCTTCCAGCTAATCTCGATGTTTTCCCAAGGTGTCGAGGAGACCCTGAAGCCCTCAAGCTGACTCTTTCTTCAGAGACTTGATGTTACGGAGCGCCGTAATATGATCATGGATGAGAAGACGGTGGTGCTCGAAATGCGCTTTGAGTAAGGCCCAAGCCGTTGGACAATTGGCACCAATGGTCTGAACGGTGTCGAGAGCGGCCTTGGCGTCTCCGTCCACCAAGGATTTCAAATAAAACAGCCTCTCCACGTCGGTGAGCTGTTCATCGTTTTCAGTTCACGAGCGCACGGAAGAGGTCCCGGAAACTTTCCCAATCCTCTCGCTTCTACGAGAAGGAAGGGATGCTGATCTTGGGCAAGCGGGCTACGTGTCTCGAGTTATGACGGTCCAGGTTTGCGCCGCCCGGGCCAGGGACAGGCGTGAGGGTGTTTCTTGCGTTGTAGAGGCATGATCGAGATGCGACATAGTCCGACTCTGCCGTCGAGTACATCTAGTCAAGAAACTCCAGCTTCTCGGGCGGCGGTGACTCCAGGAGTCTCACGTGATTGGCCTGGAATGTGTTCCAGTAGCCGTCGAGCAGCTCGAGCTTTACTTCCACGAGACCTAGGCTCAAGTTCGGGGGGTCGATCTTCTCGACGTCCCGTGCGAACCGGCTGATGACGCCGGCGAGGGCACTCTCGGAGACGAGCAGGCTCGTCCAGTCGTCGTTTGACCTGAAGAAGCGATCACTAGCTTGACGTTTGCACGAAGCATCTCTTGCCTCCGTACCATGAGCGGCGGGGCCATTTCATCGCCAGACGCGACACAGCTGTCGACGCGCGGCGCATCGACGGCAGACAAAACAGATAAAAGGAGAGTGAAAGAGAAAGAGTGTGAGAGAGGTACCACAAAAGGGCGAGGATGCCAGAAGGGACGTGCGTAGACCACGCGCGTGCCAATGCGCACGCAAGCTACACAAGCTTCGAAGCCTGTCCCTCGGCGTTGACCCCCTGCGCCAGCGAAGCGCAACAGCTCCGCCGCGCAAGGCGGACGCGCGTGACACGAGGCCCACATGGCGGCCGCGGCCGATGAGGACACCGCGAGCGCTAGATCGCGGCTAACAATGGTGGCCGCGAAAGCCTCGCTTTCCGACGTTCAAATGGCGTCGAACAAAGCGTCGCATTGACAGCCGTACGGCCTTATTTCTGCTGTGGCTGAGCACAGCTGCTGGACCGCAGGCTCTGTGGCGACCGCGGCAGCCACCGTGTGCACGCTGTTGATAACGCGAGTGCCAGCAAGGCAAGCGTTAATGGTGGCACGACTTCGTCGCAGCCAACACCTGTGTCGAATCGTGGGAACTGTGTCGACCACGACGACCTCCATTACACAACATTTCTTTAAACTGTACTTACATTACGCTGTGTAAGTCGAATCGCAGACTGTGACCACCCTAGCTGCGGCGTTGGCTGCTCTTCTCCTCGGGATCCGGCTCGAAGGACCAAATGTTTGTTTTTACTGCTTTATTGGTTCGTATGGGCTTACAAATGCTGGACAACACTTTACACAAAAAAAAGGCACAAGGGATAGTCGCTCTGGCGTGTAGTCGTCGTCTTCTTCTTCTCGTTCTCTGGTGTGGCATGCGACTGTCCTCACTGAGCCCTCGTACACGAGTGAGTCCCACCAGCCGAGCGCGGTGACGCACGAGGTGGGGAGCCGGGAGAAAGCGCACCGACCGATGTTGCATGGCAGGGCACGGGTCCCCGCTCGGTCGGTGAGAAAACCCGAACACCGCCTGGTGCAGTTAGAGAAAATTGGGCTACAAATGTAAGCCATGAAAAACAGCTCTGAGGGGCACTGGCAGCCACAACGGCTACCTTCTTGGTTGTCGCGTCCACAACGCGCTTACCCACATGTTCCTCTCT